AGTGACACTGTCAACGTTGACAACGGTGACAACGGCACCAAAGGTGACAATAGTGACAACACTGACAATTATGACAACAGTGACAACAGTGACAACAGTGATAACGGTGACAACAGTGACAAAGGTAAAAAAACTGACATCGGTGACAACGGTTACAACAGTTACAACGATGGCAACGGTGACAACACTGACAACAGTCACGACAGTAACAATAGTGACAACAGTGACAACGGTGACATCAGTGACAACGGTGACAAAAGTGACAATGGTGACAACGGTGACAACAGCGACAACAGTGACAACGGAGACAACAGTGACAACGGTAACAACAGTGACAACGGTGACAACAGTGGCAATGGTGACATGGGTGAAAACAGTGACAACGGTAAGAACAGTGACAATAGTTACAACTGTTATAACAGGGACAATGGTGACAACAGTGACAACGGTGCAACAGTGACAACAGTGACAACAGTGATAACGGTGACATAGGTGACAACAGTGAAAAAAGTAACAGTGACAACTGTTACAACAGTGAAAACGGTGACAAGAGTGACAACGGTGACAAAAGTGACACCAGTGACGACAGTGACAAAAGTGATAACGTTGACAAAAGTGATAACTGTGACAAAAGTGACAACGGTGACAACAGTGACAACGTTGACAACGGTGACAAAAGTGACAATGGTGACAACTGTGACAACAGTAACAACGGTAATAACGGTGACAGCAGTGACAACAGTGACATCCGTGACAACGGTGACATGGGTGAAAACAGTGACAACGGTAAGAACAGTGACAATAGTTACAACTGTTATAACAGGGACAATGGTGACAACAGTGACAACGGTGCAACAGTGACAACAGTGACAACAGTGATAACGGTGACATCGGTGACAACAGTGACAAAAGTAACAGTGACAACTGTGACAACATTGACAACGGTGACAAGAGTGACAACGGTGACAAAAGTGACACCAGTGACGACAGTGACAAAAGTGATAACGGTGACAAAAGTGATAACTGTGACAAAAGTGACAACGGTGACAACAGTGACAACAGTGACAACAGTAAGAACAGTAACAACGGTGACCACAGTGACAACGTTGACAACGGTGACAAAAGTGACAATGGTGACAACTGTGACAACAGTAACAACGGTAATAACGGTGACAACAGTGACAAGAGTGACATCCGTGACAACGGTGACAACGGTGACAAAGTTGACAATGGTGACAACAGTGACAATTGTGACAAAGGTGACTACAGTGACAACAGTTATAACGGTGACAACAGTGACAACAGTGGAAACAGTGACGACGATGACAACGATGACAACAGAAACAACGATGGCAACGGTGACAACACTGACAATAGTGACGAAAGTGACATTAGTAACAACAGTGACAACGGTGACAACAGTGGCAATGGTGAAATCGGTGACAACAGTGACAACGGTGACAACAGTGACAACAGATACAACTGTTACAACAGAAACAATGGTGAGAACGGTTACAACAGTGCAACAGTGACAACACTGACAACAGTGACAACAGTGACAACGGTGGCAACAGTGACAACGGTCACAACAGTGACAACAGTGACAACGGTTACAACAAGGACAATAATGACAACGGTGAAAACAGTGACAAAGGTGACATCAGTGACAAAAGTGACAACTGTGACGAAAAAGACATCAGTGACACTAGTGACAACGGTGCAACAGTGACAACAATGACAACGGTGAAAACAGTGACAACAGTGACAACAGTGAAAACGGTGACAACGGTGACATCGGTGACAACAGTGACAATGGTGACAAAAGTGACAACAGTGAGAACAGTGCCAACGGTGACAATGGTGACAATGGTGACAACAGTGAAAACAGTGACAATGGTGACAACTGTGACAACAGTGACAACAGTGACAAAAGTAACAACGGTAAGAACCTGTTGTCACTGTTGTCACTCTTGCACTGTTGTGAACGTTCCCACAGTGGTCACTGATGTCACTGTTGTCACTATTGTCACCGTTGTCACTGTTTTCAGTGTTGTCTCTCTTGTCACGGTTGTCACCGTTGTCATTGTTCTTACTGTTGTCACTGTTGGCACTGTTGTCACCAATGTCACTGTTCTCACTGTTGCACAAATGTCACCGTTGTCACTGATGTTACTTTTGTGACTGTTGTTACCCATGTCACCATTGCCAGTTTCGTAATGTTTGTCACCGTTGTCACCGTTGTCACTGTTGTCACTATTGTCACCGTTGTCACTGTTGTCATTCATGTTACCATTGCCAATGTTGTCATTGTTGTAACCGTTGTCACCATTCTCACGGTTGTCACTGTTGTCACCGTTGTCACTTGTCAATGTTGTCACTGTTGTCACTGTTGCACCATTGTAACCGTTGTCACTGGTGTCACTGATGTCACTTTTGTCACTAGTTTCACCGTTGTCACTATTGTCACTGATCTCACTTTTGTCACTGTTGTCACCGTTGTCACCGTTGTCACCATTGCCCCTGTTGTAACAGTTTTAACTGTTGTCACTGTTGTCACCATTGTCACTGTTGTCACTATTGTCAGCCATGTCACTATTGCCACTGTTGTCACTGTTTTCACTGTTGTCACTGTTGTCATTGTTATCACCATTGTCACTGTTGTCACTTTTGTCACCGTTAGCACCGTTGTCACTGTTGTCACTGTTGTCACTGTTTTCACCGTTGTCACGGTTGTCACCATTGTCACGGTTGTCACTGTTGTCACTGTTGTCACGGTTGTCACCATTGTCACCGTTGTCACTGTTGTCAGTCTTGTCTCTGTTGTCACGGTTGTCACTGTTGGCAGCGTTGTCACTGTTGGCACCGTTGTCCCTATTAATAACCATGTCACCGTTGTCACTGTTTTCACTGTTGTCACCGTTGTCACTGATGCACCGTTGTCAACGTTGTCACTGATTTCACTTTTGTCACAGTTGGTACCCATGTCACTATTGCCAGTTTTGTCATCGTTGTCACCGTTGTCACTGTTGTAACTTTTGTCACCTTTGTCACTGTTGTCACCGTTGTCAGTGTTGTCAGTGTTGCACCATTGTCACAGTTGTCACTGTTTGTCACTGATGTCACTTTTCTCACTGTTGTCATCATTGTCATTGTTGTCACCAATGTCCCGGTTGTCACCGTTGTCACTATTGTCACCGTTGTCACTGTTGTCACCCATGTTACTATTGCCAATGTTGTCACTGTTGTAACCATTGTCACCGTTGTCACTGTTGTCACCGTTGTCACCATTGTTATTCTTGTCACTGTTGTCACTGTTGTCATCGTCGTCACTGTCGTCACCCTTGTCACCGATGTCACTGTTGTCACTAATGCCACTTTTGTCACTGTTTTCACTGCTGTCACCGTTGTCACCATTATCGCTGTTGTAACAGTTTTAACTGTTGTCACTGTTGTCACCAATGTCACTATTGCCACTATTGTCACCGTTAACACTGTTGTCACCGTTGTCATTGTTGTCACTGTTGTCACCATTCTCACTGTTGTCACTGTTGTCACTGTTGTCACCATTGTCACTGTTGTCACTGTTGTCACTGTTGTCATTGTTGTCACTGTTCTCACCGTTGTCACTGTTGTCACCTTTCTCACTGTTGTCACTGTTGTCACTGATGTCACTGTCGTCACTGTTGTCACCGTTGTCACCGTTGCAATCCTTGTCACTGTTGTGACCGTTGTCACTGTTTTTACTGTTGTCACTGGTTTCACTGTTATCACTGTTGTTACTGCTGTCACTGTTTTCACAGTTGTCACTGTTGTCACCATTGTCACTGTTTGCACCGTTCTCACCGTTGTCAACGTTGACAGTGTTTTCACCGTTGTCACCGTTCTTACTCTTCTCACTGTTGCCCAATGTCAGTGTTGTCATTGTTGTCACTGATGTGACTGTGGTCACCGTTGTCACTGCTGTAAGCATTGTCAACATTGTCACCGTTGTCACTGTTGTCACTTATGTCACTGTCGTCACCATTTTCACCGTTGTCACCGATGTCAGTGTTGTCCTTGTTGTCACTAATGTGACTGTGGTCACAGTTGTCACTGTTGTCACTGTTGTCACCGTTCTCACCGTTGTCACCGTTTTCACCGTTGTCACCGATGTCTGTGTTGTCCTTGTTGTCACTAATGTGACTGTGGTCACAGTTGTCACTGTTGTCACTGTTGTCACCGTTCTCACCGTTGTCACCGTTTTCACCGTTGTCACCGATGTCTGTGTTGTCCTTGTTGTCACTAATGTGACTGTGGTCACAGTTGTCACTGTTGTCACTGTTGTCACCGTTCTCACCGTTGTCACCGTTGTCACCGTTGTTACTGTTGTCACTGTTGTCACCGTTGTCACCGTTGTCACTGTTGTCACTGTTTTCACTCTTGTCACCGTTCTCACCGTTGTTACCGTTGTCACTGTGTTCACTGTTGTCACGGTTACCATTGTCACAATTGTCACGGTTGTCACTGTTGTCACCGTTGTCACGATTGTCACAGTTGTCACTGTTGTCACCCTTGTCACCTTTGTCACCGTTGTCATTGTTGTCACTGTTGTCACTATTGTCACTATTGTCACCGTTGTCACTGTTGCCACTGTTGCACCATTCTCACTTTGTCCCTGTTGTCACTGTTGTCACTATTTTCACCGTTGTCAGTATTGTCACCTATGTTACCGTTGTTACTCTTCTCACTGTTGTCACCTCTGTCACCGTTGTCACTGTTCTCACCGTTTTCACTGTTGACACTGTTGTCAATGTTGTCACCATTGTCATGGTTGTCACTGTTGTCAGTGTTCTCACTGTTGTCACTGTTGCACCGTTGTCACCGTTGTCACAGTTGTCACTGATGTCACTGTTTTCACTTTTGTCACTCTTGTCACGGTTGCCACTGTTGTCACTCTTGTCACCGTTGTTAATGTTGTCACCATTGTTACTGTTGTCAGTGTTGCACCATTGTCACAGTTGTCACTCGTTGGCACTGATGTCACTTTTGTCACTGTTGTCACCATTGTCATTGTTGTCACCAATGTCCCGGTGGTCACCGTTCTCACTGTTGTCACTATTGTCACCGTTGTCCCTGTTGTCATTGTTCTCACCGTTGTCATTGTTGACACTGTTGTCACTGTTTTCACCATTCTCACTGTTGTCACCGTTGTCCCTCTTGTCACTGTGGTCACTGTTGTCACCGTTGTCACAGTGGTCACTGATGTCACTGTTGTCACTATTGTCACGGTTGTCACTGGTATCACTGTTGTCACTCTTGTAACGGTTGTCACAGTTGTAATTGTTCTTAGTGTTGCCACTGTTGTCACTGTTATCACTGTTGTTACCATTGTCACTGTTGTCACTGTTGTCACTTTTCTCACTGCCACTGTTGTCACTGTTGTCACAGTTGTCACGGTTGTCACAGTTCTCACTGTTGTCACTGTTGCACAAATGTCAACGTTGTCACTGTTTTTATGATGTCACTGTTGTCACCGTTGTCATTGTTGTTACTGTTGTCACTGTTGTCACCATGTCACCATTTTCACCCATGTCACTATTGTCACTGTTGTCACCGTTGTCAACGTTGACAGTGTTGTCACCGTTGTCACCGTTCTTAGTCTTCTCACTGTTGCCCACTTGTCAGTGTTGTCATTGTTGTCACTGATGTGACTGTGGTCACCATTGTCACTGTTGTCACCGTTTTCACCATTGTCACCGTTGTCACTGTTGTCACTGTTTTCACTGTTGTCACCATTGTCACTGTTGTCACCGTTGTCACAGTTGTCAACGTTCCCACTGTGGCACTGTTGTCACTGTTCTCACTGTTGTCACCGTTGTCACTGTTGTCACTGTTGTCACTGTCGTCACCTTTGTCACCGTTGTTACTGTTATCACTGTTGTCAGTGTTGTCCCCATTGTCACCATTCTTACTGTTGTCACTGTTGTCACCCTTGTCACCTTTGTCACCGTTGTCATTGTTGTCACTGTTGTCACTATTGTCACTATTGTCACCGTTGTCACTGTTGCCACTGTTGCACCATTCTCACTTTGTCCCTGTTGTCACTGTTGTCACTATTTTCACCGTTGTCAGTATTGTCACCTATGTTACCGTTGTTACTCTTCTCACTGTTGTCACCTCTGTCACCGTTGTCACTGTTCTCACCGTTTTCACTGTTGACACTGTTGTCAATGTTGTCACCATTGTCATGGTTGTCACTGTTGTCAGTGTTCTCACTGTTGTCACTGTTGCACCGTTGTCACCGTTGTCACAGTTGTCACTGATGTCACTGTTTTCACTTTTGTCACTCTTGTCACGGTTGCCACTGTTGTCACTCTTGTCACCGTTGTTAATGTTGTCACCATTGTTACTGTTGTCAGTGTTGCACCATTGTCACAGTTGTCACTCGTTGGCACTGATGTCACTTTTGTCACTGTTGTCACCATTGTCATTGTTGTCACCAATGTCCCGGTGGTCACCGTTCTCACTGTTGTCACTATTGTCACCGTTGTCCCTGTTGTCATTGTTCTCACCGTTGTCATTGTTGACACTGTTGTCACTGTTTTCACCATTCTCACTGTTGTCACCGTTGTCCCTCTTGTCACTGTGGTCACTGTTGTCACCGTTGTCACAGTGGTCACTGATGTCACTGTTGTCACTATTGTCACGGTTGTCACTGGTATCACTGTTGTCACTCTTGTAACGGTTGTCACAGTTGTAATTGTTCTTAGTGTTGCCACTGTTGTCACTGTTATCACTGTTGTTACCATTGTCACTGTTGTCACTGTTGTCACTTTTCTCACTGCCACTGTTGTCACTGTTGTCACAGTTGTCACGGTTGTCACAGTTCTCACTGTTGTCACTGTTGCACAAATGTCAACGTTGTCACTGTTTTTATGATGTCACTGTTGTCACCGTTGTCATTGTTGTTACTGTTGTCACTGTTGTCACCATGTCACCATTTTCACCCATGTCACTATTGTCACTGTTGTCACCGTTGTCAACGTTGACAGTGTTGTCACCGTTGTCACCGTTCTTAGTCTTCTCACTGTTGCCCACTTGTCAGTGTTGTCATTGTTGTCACTGATGTGACTGTGGTCACCATTGTCACTGTTGTCACCGTTTTCACCATTGTCACCGTTGTCACTGTTGTCACTGTTTTCACTGTTGTCACCATTGTCACTGTTGTCACCGTTGTCACAGTTGTCAACGTTCCCACTGTGGCACTGTTGTCACTGTTCTCACTGTTGTCACCGTTGTCACTGTTGTCACTGTTGTCACTGTCGTCACCTTTGTCACCGTTGTTACTGTTATCACTGTTGTCAGTGTTGTCCCCATTGTCACCATTCTTACTGTTGTCACTGTTGTCACCCTTGTCACTGTTACACCGTTGTCACAGTTGTCACTGTTGTCACTGTTGTCACTGTTGTCACCGTTGTCACTGTTGTCACTGTTGCACCGTTGTCACTGGTGTCACTGATGTCACTTTTGTCACTGTTGTCACCGTTGTCACTTTTGTCACTGATGTCACCTTTGTCACTGTTGTCACCGTTGTCATTATTGTCCCTGTTGTAACCGTTGTCACTGTTGTCACTGTTGTCACCGCTGTCACTGTTGTCACCGGTGCCACTGTTGTCATTTTTGTCTCTTTTGTCACCGTTGTCACTACTGTCACTGTTGTCACCATTGTCACCATTGTTACTGTCGTCACTGGTGTCACTTTTTTCACCATTGTTACTGTTGTGACCGTTGACACTGTTGTCACGTTGGTAGCATTTGTCATCGATGTCACCGTTGTCAGTATTGTCACTGTTGTCACTGTTTTCTCTGTTGTCACTGTTTCACCACTGTCACCGTTGTCACCATTGTCCGTGTTGTAACAGTTGTAATTGACGTCACTGTTGTCACCGTTGTCACATTTGTCACCATTGTCACCTTTGTCACTGTTTCGAATGTTGTCACTGTGGTCACCGTTAATACTGTTATGACTATTGTCGCTGTTGTCACCGTTGTTACTGTTGTCAGCGTTGTCACTTTTGTCACTGTCGTCACTGGTGTCACTTTTGTCACCGTTGCCCCGGTGGCAATGTTGTCACTGTTGTCACTGTTGCACCGTTGTCATTATTGTCCCTGTTGTGAATGTTGTAACTGTTGTCACTGTTGTTACCATTGCCACTGTTGTCACCGTTGTCACTGTTGTTACCGTTGTCACCGTTGTCACCATTATCACTGTTGCCGCTGTTGTCACCGTTGTCACTGTTGTCACTTTTGTCACTGTTGTCACTGTTATCCCAGTTGTCACTGTTGTCACTGTTCTCATCGTTGTCACTGTAGTCACCTTTCTTACCGTTGTCACTGTTGTCACTGATGTCACTGTCATCACTGTTGACAGTGTTCTCACTGTTGTCACTGTCGTCACTGTTCTCAGTGGTTTCCCTGTTGCCATCGTTGTCACGGTTGTGACCGTTGTCACTGTTTTCACTGTTGTCACTGTTGTCACCGTTATCACTGTTGTCATTGTTGTCACTGTTGTCACAATTGTCACTGTTGTCACCATTGTGAAAACAATAACAACAATGACAACAGTGTCAACAGTGTTAACAGTGACAACAGTAAGAAAAGTGACAACAGGGACAACGGTGAATACCGTCACAACAGTTACAACAGTAAGAACAGTGACAACGGTGACATCAGTGACAACAGTGACAACAAAGACAACGGTGACAATAGTGACAGCAGTGATATCAGTGACCACTGTGACAACGTTGACAACGGTGCACCAGTGACAAGAGTGACAACAGTGACAACAGTGACAACAATAACAACAGTGAAAACAATAAAAACAGTGACAACATTGACAACAGTAACAACAGTGGCCACAGTGACAACAGTTACAATGGCGACAACGGTGACAACAGGGAAATGAATGACAACAATGACCACAGTGACAACGGTGCAACAGTGACAACAGTGACAACAGTGACAACGGTGACAACAGTGACAACGGTGACAAGGGTGACAACCGTGACAATGGTGACAATGGTAAAAACCGTGACAACAGTGACAACAGTGGCAACGGTGACAACGGTGACAACAGTGACAACCGTGACAACAGTGACAACGGTGAAAACGGTGACAAAAGTAACAACAGTGACAATGGTGACAACGGTGACAACAGTGACAACAGTGACAACAGTGACAACGGTGACAACAGTGGCAATAGTGACATGGGTGACAACAGTGACAATGGTGACATCGCTGAAAATAGTGACAACAGTGACAACAGTGACAACGGTGACAATGGTGACAACAGTGACAACAGTAACAACAGCGACAACGGTGACAATGGTGACAACAGTGACAACGGTGACCACAGTCACATCAGTGAGAACAATGACAACACTGACAACGGTGCAACAGTGACAACACTGTTAACACTGATAATGGTGACAACTGTGCCAACGGTGACAACAGTGACAAGAGTGACAACAACGACAACGGTGACAACGGTGACAACGGTGACAACAGTGGCAATGGTGACAACAGTGGCAATGATGACATGGGTGACTACAGTGACAACGTTGACAACAGTGACAACAGTGACAACAGTGACAACAGTGAGAACAGTGACATCAGTCACAATAGTGACAACGGTGACAATGGTGACAACAGTGACAAAAGTGAGAACAGTGACAACAGTGACATCAGTGACAATAGTGACAACGGTGACAATGGTGACAACAGTGACAACAGTGACAACGGTGACAACGGTGAAAACAGTGACAACAGTGACATCAGTGAAAACAGTGACAACAGTGACAACATTGACAACAGTGACAACAGTGACAACGGTGACATTGGTGACAACGGTGACCACAGTGACAACAGAGAGATTGGTGAAAACAGTGACAACGGTGACAACAGTGACAATGCTGACAACAGTGAATACAGTGACAACGGTGACAATGGTTAGAAAGGTGACAACGGCGACAAGAGTGACAACAGTGACAACGGTGACAACGGTGCACCTGTGACAACAGTGACAACAATGTCAACAGTGACAAAAGTGACCACGGTGACAAAGGTGACAACGGTGACAATAGTGACAACAGTGACATCAGTGATCACTGTGACAACGTTGACAACGGTGCAACAGTGACAACAGCGTTAACAATGACAACAGTCACAACAGTGTCAACAGGGAAAGCGGTGACAACAGTGACAACAGTAAGAACAGTGACAACGGTGAGAAAGGTGACAACACTGACAACGGTGACAACAGTGACAACGGTGACACTGGTGCAACAGTCAAAACAGTCAAAACAGTCAAAACAGTGACAACGGTGACCACAGTGACAACGTTGACCACAATCACATCAGTGACAACAATGACAACAGTGAAAACGGTGCAACAGTGACAACAGTGAAAACGGTGACAACAGTGACAAGAGTGACAACAGTGGCAACGGTGACAACAGTGACAGAAGTGAGAACAGTGACAATGGTGACATTGGTGACAACAGTGACAACAATGACAACAGTGACAACAGTGACAATGGTGACAACAGTGACATCGGTGACAACAGTAACAACAGTGACAACAGTGCAACGGTGACAACAGTGACAAAAGTGAGAACAGT